GCACATAGCGTGATGACATAATGCTGTTATTATTATAGTCCATACGAAGTGCGTGCGTATATACTCATCGCATTGTTGCCGATATGCGACGGGCGCGTGTTGTTGCAGCCGAGTAGAACACGCGGTACCCGATCGTCCGCCGCTAACCGCCTCCGCTCTACTGGCAAATAATAATAATAATAGTAGTAAATGCGATTAGAAAACGGCGCGATTGGGCGTACGGAGGCGACGGCCGGCGGATCGTGAACGGAGGGGGGTGGGTGGTGCAGCAGCGCACTTCTGTGCGGGTGACGGCGCGGCGGCGGTAACTCGATTACAAGCGTCGGCGACGGCGGCTGCAAATCTCCTCGTCATCGTTGTCGTCTTCAGTCTTCGGTCTTATATTGAATTCGAATGCACGCCGCCGCGCGCGAAGTAGACGGACTGCTGCGAGGAGACCGTCCGTCCGCGTCCCCGGGTTCGGAATAGGTTAGGTTCCGTTGCACTTTGGAAACTTCAATTTGTTCTCATTTGCACCGGAGACGACCGGATGCGCATGTTTTGCATTTCCCCCGGGTAAACACTATGTATACGTATAATACGGTGTATATATTATGTACACGAACATAGTACGAACAGATACACGAGTGCGGAGGAGATCTTGTTTTATTTCTCTCCCATCCTCTATCTTTCTCTCACTCTCTCTCTCTCTCTCTCTCTCTCTTTGTCTCTTCTCTGTTCTCCTATACATGTTATATATATAGTATTCGGTCTATATATTATTCCGCTACACTTCATTACTACATCCACTATACGCGTTTACCGTCTCGCACCGAATAAAATGCCGACAAATGTTCCAACGTTTTACACCGGAGTCCGCCGCTGCCGTCCATGCTCCGTGTAAACTCCATTTCCGATTACATTATAGTCGCTAGGGCTTTCAACTCTAAATACCTGCACCGAAGCGGATACCGAAGTTATACGATGTATAATAATGTTGAGTGTTTTTTTATTTTTATTACATCCAATCAACCGCCGTTCGTATCGGCTGGATTTCGGATTGGACGTTCACTTTAACGTTTAGCAGAGTTATTACAAACCAATCATTTATGAAATAATGATTGCGCCGCTCGTAATTTTTATTTAAATTTCCCGTTAGTGAAATTTCCCCGCGTTTTCGCTCTCGGTAATATATTTAATTTGCATACATTTACGCGGTCACGCGGATATCGTATTTACTCGTATGCATGTAAGAGTTATTATTTTTTCGCTAGTTTATGTTAGATAGTTTCATATTAGCTATATTTATTTGTTTATTTTTACTCGACGTATATATTCAGGGATCTGTCTTCGTGAAACGGCTCGATCAATTTCAATGCAATACACTACTGTGTCGATGCCGACGGTACGGCGTAACATGTAGGTAATTTAACTACACCCGTGTCAATGTCAATGTGTATAGAAAAAACGATTGGCTATTCCAAAAACAGACTGTAGTTTCTTCATTGTGCAAACAATTTTGAATGGCATCGTATTGAATTTAACGAAAACCCATTCTTTTTTGAACTAGATGCATGCATCTGTATATCTACATTACGGTTATGAGTGTTGGCATCGATAATTTATTGACATTGATGATTGATCATGTAGTGCACATTTCGTTCGTATACATAAGTATGTATAAGTGAATTATAAACAGATTAAATACATTTTGAACTTAATTCGATCGTTATTTTTAATATAAATAATATTTACTTTTTCTGTGAATATAGTATTAATAAATAAAATAATGGATATTGTCATATAACTATCAAAAATTCATTTTATTAGTTGCTCTATGTATATATTATTCTTTCATTTTTATCGAACTATTTATTTCACAATGCATTTTCTATATCGTTTTTGGTATTATATCTCCATACATTTTTACTGCATGTAATATTTATTTTATATTTTATTCTTTTGAACCATTACAAACCATTGTATGATTTTATCTAGTGAAATTTGAATATTCTTTGATTTATTACTTACCTATATTATATTTTTGTATGTTTTATTTATTATCTAAATACCAAATCTCTTGAACACGATATGATGCTTTCAAATGCATTTGAATAAAAAAAAGGAGAAAGATGTTCATTGAAATAAAGATGGTTGATCTTATAGTGTGTTAAAGCTATAATAGAATATAAAATACAGCATATAGAAGTAAAAAACAATATTTTAACAAATAATTTAAAATAAAATGTTTGTATAGTAAAAAAATAAAAAATTTTTCTTCTTTTTCTATATTTAGTGCTTCAGAAGGAATATAGGGTTAATAAAATATGAATATTAAATAAATGTTTAAAAATAAATCGAGTCACTTTTAAAGTTATGAAAACTTTATCTAAAAATCATTATTTCATCAAACTATGTTAAAGATTTCGACAGTTGAAATATATACACTTTAAATACTACAAATATTAATAGTATGATCATAAATTTAAACTGTCGAAACGCTAAACATTTTTTGATGACATTTTAAACTAAAAAGGAAATAGCAAAGTCACGCATGGTGGATTTCAACAACATAAGAGGGTAAATTTACCCCACAGAAATGAAATTGAAATTGTGACAAGGCATCCATTTTTAAAAGCCAATTATATTATGCATGATGGTTTGTGTGTAAAATGTATTTTTTACTAAGAATCGACAATAAATGTCAAAAAGTTTTACTATATGTATTCTGTCAGTTTTACGTGTGAAACTGTTTATTGCAAACAATAGGGTCTAAATAATTCCCCAAAGAAAAAGTTTTTTTTTTTTTTTTTTGGGGGGGAGGGCGTGATTGTTTCGAGGACTTGGTGTGGACAAACATACAATGTTCGGATTATAATATATGGAAATGTGTCATTATGTCAGTTGTAGTTTGGTGAATCCATTTCCGTTTTATGCTCATTTTCTTGTTTTCAACAAAGCAGGGGTGCCTACACATAATATCGTTTTGTGTTTCCTGGCTGGTTATGTAGAACAATGTTTTATGGAAGTGCAAGACTTTATTTTAATTTATTATTTTTTTTCTTCTTTTGGATGTTTAATATGTATGCGTGGTTGATATTATTTTTTCAACAACCCCTTGTTTTTTATTAGGCTTATTAAAAGGCCAAGAATTCGTGATTTTACCAACCCCGTAGGGTTTAAAATGGAATTACATAGTCGGGCGTGGATTTTTATATAATCCTGTGGTTTTATTATGTTTAAAAAAAATCAAAATGGGAGCCTTGCATTTTAAACACCCGGAGCCCTCTTGATGGTAATTAAATCACGTAGTATATTTAGTACCAGTATATATTGAAAGGTCATTTATTGTTACGTCAGTCGTTCATAATACTATTATAAACCTACCGCTACCAACAGATTCAGTCATCGAATTTGAGTGGCATATTATTGCTGACATCACAAATTTCTCAAGTTAAAAGGAATTCAAAATAGGTATATCTGATCGTAATTGTTACGTTATGGGTGTAGACAACACAATGCAAACGGAGAAAGGAATTATTGTTGTGGGATTCGAGGCAACGGATGGTGATTTCGTATAGTTCCGAATTTCTCGCGTGTACAGTATAAGTTTTGTGGTTATCTGATGCACTGTACGCGTTTTGTTTTATAACTACAGTTTCATCCGTATTCAAAATTGTGACCGTTATTCATAGTCTCATTAAACTTTAGGATAAAAATGTCAGCTTTAATAGGTACAAAGCTTGACACTTATAAATTAGTAGTTCCTTATTGTTTTGGAACGTCTTAACTTCAACGACGATATTATACGATTTCTCTCACCACCAATATAAAACCCTCTCTCCGCTATTGACAGATTAACTCTCATGTTGTTTAGGTAGATGTACGCATGCGTTAAAGATTTCATATTATTTAAACGATTATAATATTGATGTGTATTTTTTGATAAATACGAATATTATACACGAATCCGATTTCGTTTCACTTATATTCAAGTATTGAAACCGTCAAGTGCGTTATTACCGATATCATATATACTGTTTAGTACTTTTCATGACATATAAAATGATATGGATAAGCTACTTATATAAGCATAACTGATTAAGAAGAGTCCCATTATTATTGTTGTGTGGTACATTATCATTAATCGTTTATTAGACAACAACTATTAAGAGTATATACTATTGTTTACTAATTATACGATTATAAATCACATGATGAAATGACAGTTACATATTTTTTTTTGTTTTCCTTTATTAACTTACATATGAAGTCATCGAACTAATATATGTCATATTTGTCTCTCATTCATGAGACAATACAAAAATAAGAACGATTACCGAGAATCATAAAAGTGTTAAAAATTTAAATTTTTTTATTTTGCATTTATCATGTTACAGCAATACAACTATACATATTTATATATATATATATTATGATCTAAACAAATATTTTAATTAGGAATCTAGTAGAGTTTATAAAATTAATGATGGAATGAATAATAGAGAAAAATTGAGTGTTGAGAATAAGATTTGAGTCGGAATTGTGATTATTTAGAGAAATAAATATCGAAACAAAAGTTAGAAGTTAAATTCATATAATTTAAATTAAATGAAACATTATTTTCATGGTGGTTATATTATGATGTTATTTATTTATTTTTTTTGAACAAATTTTAAAATTCTGTAAAATTAGTAACATATTAAAATAATTTATTTATAGATATTTTTTGTCAATATTTTGTTTTATTTTATGTGGGAAATGTAATGATTTAATTAAATATTTGAAAAACATTAGTATATTCGCTTACAATTTTAAGACAAGTATATCTATTTCAGATAAAAATATAGTAATTTATTAGTATATGCCTGCGTTATTGACCATCAAATGTAAATATTATTTTATAAAATTTTGTGAACATTTTATGTGCAAGTCTTTTTTTAATTTAATATAAAAACCATTAACCGGAAGTAAATTGAACATTTTTCTAATTTGCATTTTTATTTTGCTTTAATTTACAGTTGCCGCTTCAGCTTCTAAACAGTATACAGACGCTATAATGAGATTGGCCAAGCAATCGCAGCAAGGCACTTGGGGAGGATCAGCCGATATTGGTAAGTGATAATAAAACATTATTCTCTCCCCGTAAAAACGATAACGAGGTTGAACGTGTCTGTGAACGAGAAAACCATCTAATTACAATCCATCATTTATAGTCACATTATTACATGTATTTTAATTTTAATATTGAATAAATAGCATTTTTAACTACATTTTGCTAATTATTTAGATTGGAAAATCGTTCATATACGGAAATTATATATTGATTTATTATTATATTTTTTTTCTCTATATACTTTTCATGTGTTCTCTGTAAATAAATCGATTTTTCGAGAAAATGGCAGTCCGACTAATTCCTGTCGTTTTCCTCTCGAATACCTATGCAAATACAAGAGATAAATATTGCATTTTTGCCTCGTATTTTTTTACCCTTAATCCTTGTTTCTCCGTGTCGAATTAACAATCAGCCACTGACAACCGTTGTTCAAATATTGGTTGTTATTTTCGTTTGTTGTATATGACATTTTAAATGAAAATATATTTTAATGAAATTGAAAATTAAAAGAACTGCATATAAGACAGTTTATATGAATATTCTTTTTTTTAATGTATTATTTATGTATTATTTAATATATTACATTTTTGTCAAGCATATTGTTCAGTCAGTAACTTTTGATAAAATTTACTAGGTGAATAATCGTATAATAAACTATATATATATATATATATATATATATATATATATATATATATATATACATACAACAGTTTATAATTCTGTCGTGTAGTTCCGATCTTGTTTGATATTTATTACAACAATATTCGAGTTGGAACTTGGAGTAATAAAAATATATTGTCATTTGATCAAATTATTAATATAGCAAACTTAGGAAATAAAATTGAAAACATCAAATATGATAGTAAAAAAAAGTTATGGTTTTTTCTTGGAACTAATATTAATATAATATTTTTATAATTCAGTAAAATAAATATTTAATATTTTAACAGAATAAATAAATCTAGAAGAGTTATTTTTTTATTAATGAAGTGATTATGTTTTTAAAAGCATATCCTGATTAAAAATAATACCATGAAAATTATCGATAGTATTTCAAAATATCTATATGCTATATTTTTAAATTTTTTTCTTTTTTGTAACATAAAATAATACTAAGTATTTTTAACACGTTGATGGAAATAAATCATCAATAAATCATTATCGAGAATGTTGCCACTTGAAAACTTTTCTTCATTAATACCACACGAAATATTTAAAACTTATATACTTCTCACACCATTTAAAATGAAAATGTATAATGGCTTTTTTTTACCTATAGATATATTAATTATGACCTGTACAGTATTCACAATAAAGAACATAATAGGTTTAGTCGTTGGCCAAAAAGTATTATTGATGCTAATGTAAAGCGATGTTTTGAAAATAACGAGCAATCATTATAATATTTTGTCATCGATGTCGACGTTTTTATATTATCAATCAATATCGACCATTATTCATTATTTAAATATTTTATACTATTTTTAAAATAAAAATTGTATTTAAATGCAAAAATATAATTTCTACATTCATTAGATATAAAAACTATAAATTGATATATCGTTTTACATCAATAGACATAATTACAACTACAATTTTATGGGGACTTATATAAAATAATTTTTGAAATATTTCCAATAACGATTTAGTTTAACATTACCATTCTTTCTTAGAATGGCCTATTTTGATTCTATGGTTGTAAGTTAATAATTTATTTATTTAATAATTTAGTATTCGTAATAAAATAAATATTTTTAGTTTAATTTTTATAAAATATAATAGAATACATAATTTGTCAAACATAAAAACATTTTTTTTACTACAAAATTCACATAACTTTATCGAAACCTATTTGATTTTTATTATTGACGTTAGTTACATTGAGCATTTAAAATTATAAATTGCATTTGTCCTAATTCTTGTGATAATATAATACTTTTAGAAGACTATTTTATATTATTTTGAAACAATTGTATTTAAATTTCATTTATAATTTACTAAGATATAAAACGATTTTATTTTCGAAATCATGATAAAAAAAAAACTTAAAATTAAATATTTTATGGAGTATATGGGTATTGAGACTGAATACAATGAAACTCAAATGGAATGACGGTTAAAACAGTGATATACATATAATTACATTATTTTCGAGATGGAATGGAACTGAGTCACTCGACCTTAGTCTGAGGAAGTGTTTACATGACAGCGAAACACACTATAAAGGAAGTTGTTATTGCAGAATCACTACTTCAGTACAATAATATCGTGTTAAATTCTATTATATATGGACTTACATATTTATAATTATTTAGAGCAAATACGGGTTGTGAAACTCCACCCTTCAATAGTTTTAAAAAATATCTGATGATTATAAATCTATGATCTGTACATGAACGTAAAATAAAAATTTAGTTTGGATCTTTTTGTGTACAACCTATCAAATAATAAAATAAATGAAATAAATTTTAATACATTTTCTCAGTACGATAAAATAATTGAGTGATCATATTTTTGATTATGAAGATAATGCTTCTGATATAAAATAATAAGGTCCTTTATTTTTATTAGAAAAAGTATTTCATCATACGCACTTAATTAATAAAATATCAAAGATAAAGTATTTTTTTAATATTTTTTAATGTATAAACAATTCTTCCCAATCAATTTGAAATAATAACGGAAGAACTTACAATTGAATATATTTATATACATATTCGATGAACTTATTTATTAAATACGATGTATTAATGTAGAGTTTTGAAATAAAAATACGTGGCTAGTGTATTAAATATACCTTAAAATAAATTTGGTTCAATAAATTAATTCTTTGAAGAATAAATGTTTTCACTTGATTTAGTATTACTGTTAACTAAAACATTTATTATAATTTTCAATAGTGTTATATACTAGTGCCAGTGTGGATAAACGTCGTTTTCCTGTTGAAATCGGCGTATATGAGGGAGTGAATTGAAAAAAAATCTCGTACACCCATAATTCTGTCAAATGTATTGTGTTGGTTGGGGTGTTCTACCGATAAAAGGTTCTCTCCAACCCTTCCATCCTAACCTCTTGAAATTTATTGTGGCGCCATCATACTAACAGTGTTTTCAAATAATGAAGGAACAGTGATTTCGAGTCAAAGGCCATATAAAAGCCTGAAACACTGAAGATAAGCTTGTTTTCAGGGGGTTAGTTGGTTTTTTCTCAGTTTTCTCGCAAACGTTCCAAAATTAAATACGGTAGCTAACAAGAGCAGAGTAGGAAGTTGACCCATGGTAAACGAAGACTTACAGCTACTTAAAGGATTTCTGAGTTCAGGTTTCGTCATGACTCTGACATATATCCCTCCCTTGCGTTAGGGGTAAACGGATTTTACCGCCCTTAGATACAGCATAGAAATACGATATCAATGATATCAACTGTTAAACGTCATCTGATATATTACAAGGATACGGTTGGTTGGATTTTTTTTTTAACATAACGCTGTAACCGGAAAAAAAAATGCGCAAAAGAGTTTTAAGGGTTCTTGTCGCTTAGATGTATTCAGATTACTTTGAAAGTAAAAAATATTATTACAATTCTCCATAATAATATTTTTAATGTAATTGTAAGACATTATAATTTTGATACATTGATATTAATAATTCATATTAATTGTAATGAACCTTGATTAATTCAATGAATTTTTAAATTTAATTAATAAGGAATAATTGGCAGTCATTATTTTGATAAGATGATGATGAGCTTAAAATAATTTAGTTAAATTCTTTGAAAACTTTTTTTTTTTTTGGATGCAAATTTCTTATTAAAATGTAATTAAGATGACTATGAAAAATACAGAAATATAAGAATTCAGATTTATGGTATGCAATAAAGTTTAAATATTTCAACATGTTTTGTAATTAAGTCATTGTTTATTTTTATTAATATTAATTAGTATAATTACTAATTGCAAATGATAAAAGTTAAGTTTTACCTTAATATTAAAAAATTGTTCAGTAGTTTGCGCCAAGAAGAGTTATAATGAAGAAGTTCTGAATAGTCGTTCTTTTACATTTGTAATCTTTTATGTGTGATTAGAATACATTTAAAGCATTGTAATGACAAGTATAATAATACAATTAAAGTAGTTTTGATTTCCGTGAACAATTTCTATAATTTAAATATTTACAGTGTTTTTAATTATTTGCAAATATTGGAATTATGAAAATATTCATATGGTTGTTTATTTCAGTAAATTATGTTATAGTAAATTATGTTTTTGATCGCGTTACAATTTAAGGCATTTATTTTGGTTGAATAACAATAAAAATAATATTTTTTAGCTTTTTATTTTTTTTTGTGTTTGAACAATAAAAGATAAGGAGGTTTAAATAATAATATCTGATTGATAATACTTTCATATACCTATATTATACAATATATGTACACTTATCATACGTTACAGTGGTTGAATAAGTCATTTACTATTTTATGACGACGGCCTGATGTTGTCGTTTTCCATGAGAATAGATAATATTAAAAGCAATGTAGTACATTAAACGCCATGTAAAATATGAGCATTATTTTTATCTTCGTGATAGAGTCGCTGTGTTATGCTGCAGCAAAGGTAATAAAACGCCATTATCCGTACACGAAACTCTACGTCTGTACCGAACGACTAGTAAAGCGTTTTTTTTTTCTTAATATGTGATACAATAAACATTAATAGCATAATGGATCGTTGAAAAAAAATATAATGAACTTGGAAACAAGATGAACAATTCTACCATTATTTGACCACAAATATATTAATTTTTTTTTTATAAAATATGGTATACTGTTTCGTACATATATATATTGGTAATAAATAGAAAAATCGTAATCTAGACATAGAAGTTTCATCTCTATTGACGTGGAAATCGTAGCACGAAAAAAGAAAAGTTTACTTTTGTCGTTTAATGATTGCATGTTGTGTTTTCATTCCTCCGGGGAAAATGCCATGTGGAAACT